ACCTCTGCAAACAAGTTATACTAGAGCAAGAATATCTCATATCATCAGGGTTAAAAGCAAGAGTATCCCATATAATGCTTTTTCCCTGTCTTTTTCTTTGGCCTTGTTCTTACCTGCAAGACAAGGAGAAAGAGAGCAATCAGTCAGCACTTGGAATCAAGCTTCCAGCCAGGAACTGACTGCCTGGAACCCCTTACCTGATTACTTACCTGGCATTGCTCTCGAGTACTCATCTTCAACATCTTATGCTTCCAGGGAAGATACCGCATTTGCCTGAGGAACAGATAGGGCAAGTGAGAAGGATACAAGGAAGCATGTGGAGACAAGCGTAACAGCACACGTGCCGATACATCCACTACTCTGTCAAAAGCAAAAGTATCCCATATCAGCAGGGTCGAACGTACTCTAGATTTGATGGACTTGTTTTGACCCTCAAATTCTTCAGTTGGCCTTATACTCTGGAGGAAACCAGAAAACCCTCTAGCCCAGTTCAAGAATAAGCCTGTGGAAAATTACTTCTTCAAAAGCAAAAGTATCTCATATCATCTCTTCCCATTTTTCTTCTCTTTATCCTTCATGCTGCCTGCAAGATAGGGAGAATGTGAACAATCAGCCGGAGCTCTGATTGCTTACCTTGTCTGTCACCTCTTTCAGCAGATCCCCTAGCTCGGCGACTTGGGGGACTCCTACTACATGGTTTGTATCGCGCTTGACCAAGCCTGAAACTACAAGTAAGCTTCAAGTGAAATTGATACATTACCTTGTGCATCTCCACCAGTTAAAGATACCACCCCTGGATGGAGGAAGAGTACTTCCAGAGAAGATGCCACATCTACCTATGAGACAGATAAGGCAAGTCAAGACGATACCACACTCCGGTACTTAGAACTTTCGTGATTACGAGATCATTCTCCCACAATATTTCCTAATGTCATTTGTACTAAATCATTCACTTGTACTCACTAAATGAGAGCTTGAACCTATGTACTTGTGTAAACCCTTCACAATGAATGAGAACTCCTCTATTCCGTGGACGTAGCCAATCTGGGTGAACCACGTACATCTTGTGTTTGCTTTCATATCTCTATCAATTTATATACTTATCCACACTAATGACCGGAGCAATCTAGCGAAGATCACAAAAAATGACCGTTTTCGCTACCTAGGATCTATCTTGCAAGAGAACGGAGAATTAGATGGAGATCTCAACCATAGAATACAAGCTGGATGGATGAAGTGTAAGAGTGCATCCGGCGTGTTGTGTGACCGTCGTAGGTCACTGAAGCTCAAGGGAAAATTTTATAGGACGACAATAAGGCCAGCGATGTTGTATGGCACAGAATGTTGGGCGGTGAAGCATCAACACATACACAAAATGGGTGTAACGGAGATGAGGATACTTTGTGGGATGTGTGGGCACACGAGAAAGGATAAGATTGGGAATGAGGATATCCGAGGTAAAGTAGGAGTAGCTGAAATTGAAGGAAAGATGAGAGAAAATCGGTTCCGGTGGTTTGGACATGTGCAAAGAAGGCCTACTGACGCTCCGGTTCGAAGATGTGACTACGGGACAGAGGTTCAGGACCGAAGGGGTAGAGGAAGACCTAGGAAAACTTTGGAAGGGACCCTAAGAAAAGACTTAGAGTACTTGGATCTAACGGAGGACATGACACAAAACCGAGCGCAATGGCGTTCTAGGATTCATAAGCCGACCCCACTTAGTGGGAAAAGGCTTTGTTGTTGTTGTTCTTGTTGGTAAAAGTTCATTCTTGGATAATAAGAGTATGAAACTTGCGTCGTTTATGGGCCTCGTAGAGTCAACACGTTTGGTGGCTGGGACATGACGAGATTGCTAATTGTAAGCGCTATGCTCTAGCTCGTGTTTGGTGAACGGATAATTGCAGGAACAGAAATTATTAAATTGGATTAACAACATATTGTATCTTACAAGTCTCCTCTATGCGAATCTATAGGACTGTATTGGGCTGCAGACCAAAAAAAAAAAAAACCTAGTAAATAGGGAAAAACCAACTAAATCCATAGCATACCCACGTTCCTTATTCTCCCCGAGATAATTTGCAGGTTGTCCACTGCAGTTCGGTTGTACTGTTTTTACAAGAGTTAGTGGGTGTGACAGTCGCATGTTAAGGAGAAAGGGTAGGGACCAATAACAACAAGCCACCTAAGCATGGATTGATGGGAAGACAAGCCCATCTTGGCTTAAGGTAACCGTTTGATGGGTTAATGGGCCAATCAAACGGTCGACTAGTGATGTAGTGGGAGAGGGAGGGAGTTAACAACAGTTACTCTTCATCCAAAATCCCGCCCTTTTTCAATTACTTCGGAAGTTTTCTCCCACAAAACACTCACACACCCAACTCACAACTGCAAATTAGCATAGTTCGAGTGAAAGAGAAGATCAATCGCTTCGTTCCGAAAAAAATGGGCAATTCGAGCCTCGAGTTCTTGGACGTCAGACTGCTCTTTTTGCTGTCCATGTTTTGCATGGCAAGTGGTTTCGGTAGAGGAGTCAAAGCAGACGGAAGAAGCCTCTTGCAGCATCACAGCAAGGCTAAGAGCTCTAATCTTTTCAACGTCAAGAGCTTTGGCGCCCGAGCAGACGGCCGAACTGATGACAGCGATGTTCGATCTCAGTTGCTTGACTTGCTTCACATTACTCTTTTAACTTTTCAGTTTTCTTCAAGACTCGAAAAAACCCTTTTTTTATCGAACTTACTAGCTTCACATTTCGGCATTTGGGTTTGTTTGATGTAGACATTGTAGTTTTTAGCTCTACCTTTTTGTAATTTCAGGCATTCACGGCGGCATGGAAGGAGGCTTGCCAGTCCATAGGTAGAGTCCACCTTATAATACCGAAAGGAACTTACACGATCGGCCCTCTGAGATTCTCCGGCCCCTGCGTAAATGTTACGTCTCTGAATTTTCGTGTGAAGGCAAGAAGAATATTTTTCTATGATTTGTGATCTCCATCTGCTACAGACTTTTTATATGATTATTACATTTTTTATGACTGATTTTTAGAGTTGAATTGCTAGCAGGGTTACTTGAAGGCTACAACTGACTTGCGCAAGTATGGATCGGGTAGTGGTTGGATTGAATTCGCGTGGATGAAAGGGCTAACCTTGACCGGAGGTGGAACCTTTGATGGTCGAGGGGCTCACGCCTGGCCTCACAACAAGTGCATCACCAACTCCAACTGCAAACTTCTTCCAACTGTATGCTCTACAGCTTCCTCTCTGTTGTAAATTCTACATTAGTTTTATTTTAGCTAATTCAAAATCATTTTCTCTGTCTCAGAACTTGAAATTTGTGGCACTTAACAAGACAGTTATCCGCGGCTTAACTTCCGTGAACAGCAAGTTCTTTCACATAGCTCTTGTAGAATGTCACAACTTCAAAGGTAGCAGGCTCAAGATTTCAGCGCCCGAAACTAGCCCTAACACAGATGGAATCCACATCGAGCGAAGCTCTAGCATCTACTTCTCTTCGTCGCGCATTGCTACTGGTGATGACTGCATCTCAGTTGGACAAGGAAACTCTCAGGTCACCATAACAAGCATCACTTGTGGACCTGGTCATGGCATCAGGTGCATACTTTTGAAATTCTATGTTTCTGGTGTCTTTGTTTGTGTAACGAAAATTTTATGGTACAATGCTAACTTTAACTAATTATATTTTTGCATCACAATTTTAGTGTGGGAAGTCTAGGAAAATATCCGGACGAAAGAGATGTCAGCGGACTTGTAGTGAAGGACTGCACCATGACAGGCACCACCAATGGAATTAGGATCAAGACATGGGCTAACTCTCCAGGAAGCAGCGCTGCCACAAATATGACATTCGAAAACATTGTCATGAACAACGTTACTAATCCGATCATAATCGATCAGTCCTATTGTCCATTCACCGCTTGCACTTCTAAGGTAACCAAATTGCACGAGAGAAACTTCAATGAAACATGTTGCGTACCTCTTTCCTTTATTTCTACTTTTGAGTTTTCAGTTCGAATAAGAATGTCATCGTGTAAAAACTGCAGGCACCATCTAGAGTGAAGCTGAGTGACATATACTTCAAGAACATAAGAGGAACTTCGTCTTCGGAGATGGCGGTGTTACTTGAATGCAGCAAAGGGATTCCATGCCAGAATATTTTCCTTGAAGATGTTCACTTGGATTTGTCATCCGGAGAGAAACTAGCCACTTCAAGTTGCAGTAATGTTAAAGCTAAATTTATTGGCACCCAAATCCCACCACCTTGTACCTAATAAGTTGCTTGTTACTTGTTATGGGTGGATTGAGTAATTTTAATGGTTTCCACTTAAAATTTGATGTTTGGACTTTAATTATGTTTCACAAACACTGCAATTCCACGAAGAATTTAGAGTTTTTCTTTCATTGGTGGCTAATTAGCAGTTCTCCTTAATGTTGTATTTATCGCATTACTTTTGTTTTCCGTCCAAAAACGTCACACATTGGTCGATATATGTTATTTGTAAATTTTGTTATTGATTATTTTTACTTTTCATAACAAGCACTAAATAAATTAGATATAGACAATTTGATTGATTTAAACGACCTTCAAACAAGTCAAATCGAGCCATCTTTGCAACTTGTATCGTACTCGGTTTGAAATTATACCTTTATCAATGTAAAATCGAACAAAATGGCTCCGATCAATTTGATTCGGCTTGTTTGAATAAACAAATAACTATGTAAACAAACAAATAGACAGATAAGTGATTTTCACATTCTTTTATCTCCATGCATGTACACTTATTTGTAATATTTAAACTGAATAGATCAAAATAAAAATGCATAGAAATAAATAAACAATGATGGGTCGGAGAAGAAAAATGAGAACGAAAATCATATTCCAAAAAAAAAAAAAAAAAAAAAAAAAAAAGAAAGAAAGAAGAAGGAAAGAACAAAAGATTCGCTTATAATAATATCCTCGTGTGTTATTTTCTTTGGGCTCATATACACGCATTGTCAAGCACTGTCGGGTTTTGTCCCGTTGCCGAGTGCATAAAAAGGGACTCCGATTATTACCAGAAGTGGAAATTCGAGAGAGAAGAAGATGGAGAGCGCATCAGAAATGGTGGCATTTCCACTGCTGACGACGCCGATCGAATCCAACTACAGAGCCTGCACCATCCCCTACAGATTTCCCTCCGACAACCCCCGCAAGCCCACGCCGACTGAGCTCTCCTGGATCGACCTCTTCTACAACTCCACCCCCTCCTTCAAGTAATCATCCTCATCCTCTCCCTAACCTCCATCATAAACCTTATTTTCTTCGGTTTTTCGTTAATGGGTGTGATTGGCTGTCGGCAGGAAAAGAGCTGAGTCCGACGCTTCGGTTGCCGACGCTCCGGCCAGAGCTGAGAAATTTGCTCAAAGGTACATACTTTTACTGATTGTTTTGCGATGAGTGAATTGGGTTTTCGGAACTGCCTTCAATCTGTTTGTGTTTTTGCCTGAAAGGTACACTGAGATACTGGAGGACTTGAAGAAGGATCCTGAGAGTCACGGCGGCCCGCCGGATTGCATTGTAAGCTCGAAATTTTGATTTGAGTTGATTTTTCACTTTCTATTATGTTGTAGTCATGATTTATCGCGGCATCGTTTTCTTAGCATTGAAGTTTCTTTTCTTTTTTTCTCTGCTTTGTTTGGGAAATCCAGCTTCTTTGCAGACTTCGGGAGCAAGTTCTTAGGGAGTTGGGATTCCAAGATATATTCAAGAAAGTCAAGGTGGGTACTTTTTAGCTGTTATTGGACGCTTTATTAGTCCATTGATGTAGATAATTGATTGACTTGGAGTTCGGAATTGCGATCATGATTAAACTCTTCAGGATGAAGAGAATGCCAAGGCAATATCCCTGTTTGAGAATGTAGTGGATCTTAATGATGCTATTGAAGATGAAGTCAAGCGGGTAGAGAATCTGATTAGAGGAATATTTGCCGGAAATATATTTGATCTTGGTTCTGCACAGGTACGTGATTTTTTGCTGTAGAACTAGTAAAAATTGGATACCCATCTACTTAGATTTGGTGGCATCAAACTGATTCTAAGGATTTGCATGATAAATTGGTTTTTGTAACACCACTTCCTGTTATTAAAGTGATACATCATAGTATTCCATTGGAAACTACATGACATTTACCTTCTTTTTTTTTTTTTTTTTTTTGCTTTCTTGAAGCTTGCAGAAGTTTTCTCAAAGGATGGTATGTCCTTTTTAGCTAGTTGTCAAAACCTTGTCCCTCGACCTTGGGTTATCGATGACTTGGACGCTTTCAAATTAAAATGGACCAAGAAATCTTGGAAAAAGGCAAGTTCCGTTTCTATGTTATAGTAACTATCTCTGTAAGAATTTATGCCATTGTAGATTCTTCTTGTTAACTCCGCCTATGTCTTACATGGCCGGTCCCAAGCCCGAATAAAGGAGGAGGGGGAGGGCGTCAGGTAGTCGACAGCCGGCACTCCATGATCACGTCGAATCCTTATGAAAATGAATCCAGAACAAAATCGCGCTAAAGCTAGGGCGTCACCCGTAAGTGGCGCGCTGTGTGGCCTGAGCACAGTGATAAGTGAGCAAGGGTCGCTGTATCTCCATCGGCACCCGGATGCAGTGTTAAATGAGCAAGGGGGCCATAGAAACTTCTTTTCGAACGACTCCACTCAAAGTTGTTTGGGAGCATATGCTCCTATCAACTTTACCCGGGACACACAAAAGAAGTACTTTGATCCTATTAGACGGGGGAGGGTGAAGAAGCTAGGACAGAAGGGTAGAGTTCAAGAGAGCAAAATGCGTTTAGGAACGTGGAATATAGGAACCTTAACGGGAAAATCTATGGAAGTAGTGGAAGTTATGGTGAGGAGAAGGATAAATATTATGTGCCTACAAGAAACTAAGTGGGTTGGTAGTAAGGCAAAGGATCTAGAAAACTCAGGGTTTAAACTTTGGTATTCGGGCACAAATAGAACGAGAAACGGTGTTGGCATCATCGTGGACAAGACCTTGGTACAAGATGTTGTAGATGTCAAAAGGGTAGGAGATAGAATCATGGCAATCAAGATTGTAATAGGACAAGAACTTATCAATGTGATTAGTGCGTACGCACCTCAAGTAGGGTTGAATACGAGTTCGAAGGAGAAATTTTGGGAAGATCTTGGAGACTTGGTGCAAGGAATTGCTCAGACGGAGAAGTTATTTATAGGAGGAGATTTAAATGGACACGTGGGCAGGGAGACAGGCAACTATGGAGGTTTTCATGGTGGCCATGGTTTTGGGGAGAGAAACGAGGATGGGGAAGCTATCTTGGATTTTGCAATGGCATATGATCTCTTCTTAGCCAACACCTTCTTTAAGAAGAGAGAAGAACATGTGATCACCTACAAGAGTGGGTCGTCAAAAACACAAATAGATTTTCTTCTAATGAGGAAAGGGGATCGTATAACTTGTAAGGATTGCAAAGTTATACCAGGAGAGAGCGTGGCTAATCAACATCGCTTGTTGGTGATGGATGTACATATCAAAAGAGTAAGACAAAAGAACAAGACTTGGAAGTGCCCAAGGACTAGATGGTGGAATCTAAAAGAAGAAAAACAAGTCATTTTCAAAGAGAAGGTAATCACCCAATGTGTGTGGGATAGAGAGGGGGAAGCTAGCCAAATGTGGGATTCCATGGCTAGTTGTATCCGAAAAGTAGCAAAAGAGGTATTAGGAGAGTCCAAGGGCTTTGCCCCACACCAAAAGGAATCTTGGTGGTGGAATGAGGAGGTACAAACAAATGGTGAAGGCTAAGAAGGAATGTTGTAAAGCCTTATACAAGGATAGAGGACCGATGAAAATGGTGAAAAGGTATAGAAAAAGCGAAGCAAGAGGCGAAAAAAGCTGTCAGAGAAGCTAAGTTAGCGGCTTACGACGATATGTATAAACGACTAGATACCAAAGAAGGAGAGTTGGATATCTATAAACTATCTAGAGCAAGGGAAAAGAAGACAAGGGACCTAAACCAAGTGAGGTGCATCAAGGATGAGGATGGAAAGGTTCTTGCTACAGAGAACGCGGTTAAAGACAGATGGAGAGGTTATTTTCATAACCTTTTCAATGAAGGACATGAAATGAGTGATTCTTTAGGGGAGTTGAGTAACTCAGAAGAGTGTAGAAACTACTCTTTTTATCGTCGAATCCGGAAGGAAGAAGTGGTTGTAGCTTTGAAGAAGATGAAGCATAAAAAAGCAATAGGCCCAGACAATATACCAATCGAAGTGTGGAAAGTTTTGGGAGAGACAGGTATAACATGGCTCACTGACCTTTTCAATAGGATTTTGAAAACGAAGAAGATGCCAAATGAGTGGCGAACGAGCACTTTGGTGCCTATCTACAAGAATAAGGGCGACGTACAAAATTGCATGAACTATAGGGGTATTAAGCTAATGAGTCATACAATGAAGCTCTGGGAGAGAGTCATTGAGCATAGATTGAGGCAAGAGACACGGGTTTCGGACAACCAATTCGGGTTCATGCCAGGGCGCTCAACCATGGAGGCAATCTATCTCTTACGAAGATTGATGGAAAGATATAGAGATGGGAAAAAGGATTTACACATGGTCTTTATAGATTTGGAAAAAAGCGTATGATAGGGTCCCAAGAGACATTCTTTGGAGGATTTTAGAGAAGAAAGGAGTACGAGTAGCATATATCCAAGCTATAAAGGATATGTATGAAGGAGCAAAGACTGCCGTAAGAACTCATGAAGGACAAACCGAAAGCTTTCCCATAACTGTAGGATTACATCAAGGCTCATCCTTAAGTCCTTACCTTTTTGCGTTGGTAATGGATGAGTTAACAGGACATATTCAAGATGATATTCCTTGGTGTATGCTTTTCGCAGACGATATAGTGTTGATAGATGAAACTCAGGAAGGGGTAAATGCAAAGCTTAACCTTTGGAGAGAAGTGTTGGAATCTAAAGGTCTTCGCCTTAAGCCGATCAAAGACAGAATATATGGAGTGCAAGTTCAGTGCAAATGGAGGCCAAAACGAGTTAGGGGTGAGGATCGGAAGATCAAGAAATACCAAAAAAAGCGACCGTTTTCGTTACCTAGGATCTATCTTGCAAAAAGAACGGAGAATTAGATGGAGATCTCAACCATAGAATACAAGCTGGATGGATGAAGTGGAAGAGTGCATCCGGCGTGTTGTGTGACCGCCGTATGCCATTGAAGCTCAAGGGAAAATTTTATAGGACGACGGCAATAAGGCCGGCGATGCTGTATGGCACAGAATGTTGGGCGGTGAAACATCAACACGTACACAAAATGGGTGTAGCGGAGATGAGGATGCTTCGTTGGATGTGTGGGCACACGAGAAAGGATAAGAATTAGGAATGAGGATATCCGGGGTAAAGTAGGAGTAGCCGAAATTGAAGGAAAGATGAGAGAGAAAAATCGGTTACGGTGGTTTGGACATGTGCAAAGAAGGCCTACTGACGCTCCGATTAGAAGATGCGACTATGGGACAGAGGTTCAGGGCCGAAGGGGTAGAGGAAGACCTAGGAAAACTTTGGAAGAGACTCTAAGAAAAGACTTAGAGTACTTGGATCTAACGAAGGACATGACACAGGATCGAGCACAATGGCGTTCTAAGATTCATATAGCCGATCCCACTCAGTGACTTGGATTTTCCAAGTCTCCAACCGAGAAGTTTTCCTCACTCGGGAAATTAAGGGAACACTACCCCAACCTACATGCTCCACTCAGAAAGCTTCAACATACAAGCTTCAACAAAAAGAAAATTCAAAGAACTTAGCGAAGAAGGCTTTGGTGTATTTAACACAATACGTTGAAATGAAGGAAAGTTTATTTATTGATATCCCCGATCAGCTACAAATATGTACATATACATGAGTCAAAATAAACACAACAAGAGGAGCCTTCACAAAGGTTGCTTAGGAGAAGTCTCAGCAGTCGGTAGAGCCCCAGAAAGAGAAGGCACCGGAGGGGGATCATTTGGGAGCCTCAGTACTGGACAAAACCCTAGAAGGAGGAGGCATCAGAGGTTGATCATTTGGAGCTTCATTACGCGGTACAGCCCCAGAAGACGAAGGCAATAAATGCCTTTGGAACAAACCCACAAATCTCTGATGATCAAGTAAAACCTGACCATCAGTTTCCTTCATCTGGTCAAGCTTCCTCTTCATGTTTGTAGCATAGTCATGTGCGAGCCGGTGCAACTGTTTATTCTCATGCTTGAGCCCTCTAATCTCCTGTTTGAGACTCATCACTTCAGCCGCCAATGATTCAACTTGGCGGGTTCGAGCAAATAGGCGTTGGGCCATATTAGACACAGAACCTGCACACTGAACACTGAGAGCCAGCGAATCCTTAACAGCCTAACTCATCAGACCGTTTGGAAAGTAGTCTGTTATCTTTGGGAGTGAGAAGGTTCCTGGCCACCACCGCAGCGGTCATATCATTCTTCATCACGGAATCCCCAACGGTAAGAGGACCAGTAGGGGAGACGAAGGATGGGCGCCATATGTTGTCTGGAGAAGGCGGGGCTGCCTCTTCAACAAGGTTCAAGTCAAAACGACGGTCGGAGGGGCCAGACATTTTCAAAGGTGTTGAAGAGAGAAGAGGTCGGACAAATCAAGATCTTAGAAGTGCAAGAATGGAAGCTTCTACTGGTGGAGATTCAAGTGTGCTTTGGAACTTAATGTCCAGCCTCTATAAAAATCTGCACTCGACGGAGCTTCAGAAATCGAAGAGGCGCCTGCTCAGAAATCGAAGAGGCGTTTGCTTTCTCAAAAGCTGGGCTGCTTAGAGATCACGAGGGTTGATCTCAGAAATCGAAGAGGCGTTTGCTTTCTCAAAAGTTGGGCTGCTCAAAGACCACGAAGGCCGATCTCAGAAATCGAAGAGGCGCTCGCTTTCTCAAAAGCTGGGCTCCTCAGAGACCACGAGGGCCGATCTCAGAAATCGAAGAGGCACCTACTTTTCCAGCCTTGTCAGCACCTGTCACACGCACACTCAGCTTTGCAGGAAATTATGGGCATTCTGTCGAAGACTTCTGGGGAAGTAGAAAACACATGAATCTTACTGTTCAATCACCCACTTCCCACACGCAACAATAGCTCATGGGTACCACAGATAACTTTGCCAAAGTTCTCTGCCAAAGTTGAGCACGTGAAGCTTGCAGCTCCCACTACATCGCTCTGACCAAGAAGGGTAAAAGAATAGCAAAGAAACAGCACTAACAAAGTTTAGACCCATAAATTTTGAAGGTCTAGCTACCATATTATTACCCACAAGGGTAAAGGAACAGTACCACTGCTGGATAATTGGAAAGTCCCTGTGTGTCAACCTCTGTGCTTCGTGGCAAGGTAGACTAGCAAACATGCCCAACCTTTACTCACATTCGAGAAAACACTCCCAATAAGATTGCTTGCTCCAAAATCGAAGAGGCACCGTCCTCCGAATCTCGAGAGCCAGACTCCCAACATGACTACTTTCTTAAAAATCGAAGAGAGGGTAAAGGAACAGTACCATTGCTGGATAATTGGAAAGTCTCTGTGTGTCAACCTTTGTGCTTCGTGGCAAGGTAGACTAGCAAACATGCCCAACCTTTACTCACATTCGAGAAAACACTCCCAACAAGATTGCTTGCTCCAAAATCGAAGAGGCACCGCCCTTCCGAATCTCGAGAGCCAGACTCCCAACATGATTACTTTCTCAAAAATCGAAGAGACACTGCTCCCCGAATCTTCGAGAGCCAGACCCCCCAGCATGATTGCTTTCTCAAAAATCGATGAGGCATCGTTCTCCGAATCAATCGAAGAGGCGCTCGCTTTCTCAAAAGCTGGGCTGCTCAGAGACCACGAGGGCCGATCTCAGAAATCGAAGAGGCACCTACTTTTCTAGCCTTGTCAGCACCTGTCACACGCATACTCAGCTTTGCAGAAATTATGGGCATTTTGTCTAAGACTTCTAGTGAAGTAGAAAGCACATAAATCTTACTGTTCAATCACCCACTTCCCACACGCAACAATAGCTCATGGGTACCACAGATAACTTTGCCAAAGTTCTCTGCCAAAGTTGAGCACGTGAAGCTTGCAGCTCCCACTACATCGCTCTGACCAAAAAAGGTAAAAGAATAGCAAAGAAACAGCACTAACAAAGTTTAGACACATAAATGTTGAAGGTCTAGCTACCATATTATTACCCACAAGGGTAAAGGAACAGTACCACTGCTGGATAATTGGAAAGTCCCTGTGTGTCAACCTCTGTGCTTCGTGGCAAGGTAGACTAGCAAACATGCCCAACCTTTACTCACTTTCGAGAAAACACTCCCAACAAGATTGCTTGCTCCAAAATCGAAGAGGCACCGTCCTCCGAATCTCGAGAGCCAGACTCCCAACATGACTACTTTCTCAAAAGCGAAGAGAGGGTAAAGGAACAGTACCATTGCAACTGGCAGCTCCCACTACCGTGCTATGACCAAGCAGGGTAAAGGAATAGCATTATTACTTGTTGTTAGGGAGACTCCTATATATGTCGACCTCCATCCCCAACGGACAGGCAGACCTGCAAAAATGCTCAACCCTTCATCATATCTGAGAGGGCACTCCCAACGAAGCCTTTCGAAATATTCAGCTTTCTTTCCCCCCGATAATACCTCTGCAAACAAGCTATACTAGAGCAAGAATATCTCTCATATCATCAGGGTTAAAAGCAAGAGTATCCCATATCATGCTTTTTCCCTGTCTTTTCCTTTGGCCTTGTTTTTACCTGCAAGACAAGGAGAAAGAGAGCAATCAGTCAGCACTTGGAATCAAGCTTCCAGCCAGGAACTGACTGCCTGGAACCCCTTACCTGATTACTTACCTGGCATTGCTCTCGAGTACTCATCTTCAACATCTTATGTTTCCAGGGAAGATACTGCATCTGCTTGAGGAACAGATAGGGCAAGTGCGAAGGATACAAGGAAGCATGTGGAGACAAGCGTAACAGCACACGTGCCGATACACCCATTACTCTGTCAAAAGCAAAAGTATCCCATATCAGTAGGGTGGAACGTACTCTAGATTTGATGGACTTGTTTTGACCCTCAAATTCTTCAGTCGGCCTTATACTCTGGAGGAAACCAGAAAACCCTCCAGCTCAGTTCAAGAATAAGCCTGTGGAAAGTTACTTCTTCAAAAGCAAAAGTATCTCATATCATCTCTTCTCATTTTTCTTCTCTTTATCCTTCATGCTGCTGCAAGATGGGGAGAAGGTGAACAATCAGTCGGAGCTCTGATTGCTTACCTTGTCTGTCACCTCTTTCAGCAGACCCCTAGCTCGGCGACTTGGGGGACTCCTACTACATGGTTTGTATCGCGCTTGACCAAGCCTGAGAACTACAAGTAAGCTTCAAGTGAAATTGATACATTACCTTGTGCATCTCCACCAGTTAAAGATACCACCCCTGGATGGAGGAAGAGTACTTTTAGAGAAGATGCCACATCTACCTATGAGACAGATAAGGCAAGTCAAGACGACACCACACTCCGATACTTAGAAGTTTCGTGATTACGAGATCATTCTCCCACAATATTTCCTAAATGTCATTTGTACTAAATCATTCACTTGTACTCACTAAAGGAGAGCTTGAACCTATGTACTTGTGTAAACCCCTTCACAATTAATGAGAACTCTTCTATTTCCGTGGACGTAGCCAATCTGGGTGAACCACGTACATCTTGTGTTTGCTTTCCTATCTCTATCCATTTATATATACTTATCCACACTAATGACCGGAGCAATCTAGCGAAGATCACAAAAAGCGACCGTTTTTCGCTACCTAGGATCTATCCTGCAAGAGAACGGAGAATTAGATGGAGATCTCAACCATAGAATACGAGCTGGATGGATGAAGTGTAAGAGTGCATCCGGCGTGTTGTGTGACCGTCGTAGGCCACTGAAGCTCAAGGGAAAATTTTATAGGACGGCAATAAGGCCAGCGATGTTGTATGGCACAGAATGTTGGGCGGTGAAGCATCAACACGTACACAAAATGGGTGTAGCGGAGATGAGGATGCTTCGTGGGATGTGTGGGCACACGAGAAAGGATAAGATTGGGAATGAGGATATCCGAGGTAAAGTAGGAGTAGCCGAAATTGTAGGAAAGATGAGAGAAAATCGGCTCCGATGATTTGGACATGTGCAAAGAAGGCCGACTGACGCTCCGGTTCGAAGATGTGACTACGGGACAGAGGTTCAGGGCCAAAGGGGTAGAGGAAGACCTAGGAAAACTTTGGAAGAGACTCTAAGAAAAGACTTAGAGTACTTGGATCTAACGGAGGACATGACACAAAACCGAGCGCAATGGCGTTCTAGGATTCATATAGCCGACCCCACTTAGTGGGAAAAGGCTTTGTTGTTGTTGTTGTTGTTGTTGTGTAGATTCTTCTTGTTCATTAACCACTTATCTCTTTGTCTTCACAGGCTGTTATTTTTGTTGACAATTCTGGTGCTGATATTATCTTGGGTATTTTGCCATTTGCCAGAGAGTTACTCCGGCGTGGGACACAGGTTTGCTGTCCTTATGTTCAATGCAACTGGTTCTTAGGGTACAAACCCCAGAAATTCTTCTAGTATTCCTTCTTTCTCTAAGAACAATATATGTATTCTTGTGCATGTGTTTGTAAAGTTGGTTCTCCCTGCCAAATAATAAAAGGCATGAATTATATTATGAGTGCTGATGCCTTTCCTTTTCCACAAATTTAAAATTGCTTTCATTACCACTCTTTGAATGAGTTGCCTTGGTGAGCCTATTTTCACATGATTACCTCTTATTGTGCAGGTTGTGTTGGCAGCTAATGACTTGCCTTCTATCAACGACGTAACTTACACTGAACTGATTGAGATTATATCAAGGGTAACAGAAAATTTAGAATATTGTTTACTTAGGTTCTTGGTTTCACATCATCTTTTCGAAAATGAAAAATCTTGGTTGACACTTGAAACTGATAGTATAAGTGGCATTTACCAGTTGAAGGACAAAAACGGACAGCTCAAGGGTGTTGATACTTCAAAGCTTTTGATTGCTAATTCAGGCAATGATTTGCCGGTAATGGAGTTGAAGTTCTTATTTTGTCATCAGATTAAACTTGGAGTCCATTGTTGTTGTAGTTGTATAACATTAGCCTCTTTGACTTCTCAATTCCTCGTAGGTTATTGATCTTTCAAGAGTGTCACAAGAGCTTGCCCACCTGGCAAGTGATGCAGACCTAGTTATTTTGGAAGGAATGGTAAAAATCTAAAAACCTTCTTGGATTATTACTGTCTTTGGCTCTTAATTGAAAAGTTGAACTGATTACTTGATGTCGAAGATGAAGTCATGTATGATGTATAATTGGAAGTGAAAGTGTATGAAGTATACTGTATAAATTGGCATAAATGGTTGCTAAGAATGGTATATTGTCAGAGAGTTCTATAAGATTTGTTGCATATTTTGAGATGATGCAGTCTTGACTCTTCATTGTTTTAACGTAACATAAATTGCTTTTGACAGGGCCGTGGGATAGAGACAAATCTTTATGCACAATTTAAGTGCGATTCCCTTAAGATTGGGATGGTAATGCTTCGACTCCAATTGTTGTATGCTTCTAATGACTACTTCAGTTAATGAGCATTTCTTGTTGCGTTATACAAATCGTGTGCAACTTCTGTTTGCTTCTCCTCTTATTTATTCCAGGTGAAACATCCAGAGGTTGCCCAGTTTCTAGGAGGAAGGCTCTATGACTGCGTCTTCAAATACAACGAAGTTTTGTTGAGTTGATTATGTGGATTGTTGAGTAGATGAAGTATTAGGTCTTGTAGCTATTTCAAGAGCTTATATGTTTGAACTTCAAAAGTCATCCCTCCTTATGAATAACCATAGCGACTATTAGGCGTGGTTACGATTATTATCCCATAACGGTTATGTTTTCAGGTGAATTTTATGCATCTCTGCACACAATCAACCTGTCTGTACTGTAGTTTCGATATGAAATAAGAAATTTCTTTTCTTAATCAGCTGACCTGATGACATTGTGTTTAATTCGATACATGAAAGAGTGAAAAATACATGATAGAAGTGCTTTTACTATAAAAGCTTTTGGTCACCAGGGACATCCAAATCAACAGATCATTTCTTTTTGGTAGGATATGAAGCCATCTTGTTAATGCCACAGATTCCTTCTGGTTTCCCTGTGCTCCTCTTCATCCTTATGTATCCCTTTTCTCCCCACTTTGGCCCCCATGAGTTCTTCACAATGATGTAATCTAACCCATCCTGAGTCCCATATCCGACGGCTGCTACACCGTGGTCTAGTTCAGTTCCGCAACGCCCGTTGAAGACACCCTGCACAACCAACAATCCATCCCATGATTAGTAAATAATTAATGTGTTTTAGGCATTGATTAAATTGTGTATGAACATTAGCTCACCCCGCTATAGAACTGGAAATCTCTGCTGGAGGCCTCAATGGCTACGCTGAGAGGCTGGTTTGCGAGTGCCTTGAGGAGAGCCTGCTCGTTGTTTTCCGGCACGTCATGGTAACCGGAGATAGTCACTACGTCCGAGTCTGCCTGAGGATAACAAAATCAAATGTAAGATTAAGAAGAGCAACGATCCGCTGACAGCTAAATTTTGATCTGAAAATATATGTTTTACCTTCTTTTCCGCACAAGTTCCTTCGTCCATAATGTAGGGGTAATCATCCTCCTTGTGGAGGCCACCGTTGGAGATTATGAACTCGAATGCATAATCCATCAAGCCTCCATTGCAGCCATTGTTGAATGATTTGTCACAATCTATCAGCTGCTGCTCAGACAGAGATGTTAGGCTTCCTGTGACTATCTGGTTTATGCCCTCAACTGCAGCAACAGTGGAAAATGCCCAACAGCTACCTGCATTTTCATCGTAACGCATTTTAAGAGAGAGCGGGTAATTTGCACTCTACATTGACTGTTACTGAGGAGTTAATCTTGTCTAATCCTCTTATGCTCATATAAAAAGATGAGAGAGAGAGAGAGATATATATTCACATACCACATGAACCTTGGTTCTTGATGGAGGTTACAGCTCCTTTCTTTCGCCAGTCCACGGATTTGGGCAATGCCTCTACATCAAAATCGCGGTAACTGAACTCTCCAGTGGAATCTCTCCTTCTGGGGAACTCAGCCTTGAGACCCAAGTACTTGCTCTTGAACTCCTCATGGCTCAAGTCAGCAAACTCATTCACAGCAAGCCAGTAGCTATCGACATCGAGGTTCTTGTTCCTCTCATCAATGTGCTTCACATTGTCTCTGAAAATCTCAAATCTATGCAGCTTCTCCTCCATGCTCTCATAAATCTTTCCGTGCTTCGATATCCACTTCTCGAAGAGCATGATGAACTTGTCCATGCAGGTCAAGTCCTCGGGAGAATATCCCACGATCGAGAACTCGTGAGCAAGAGTAGAACCGAGAAAGAGAGGCACAAGGAAGGCGAGAAGCGAAATCTTCGAAAAAGCCATTTTTCGGGAGGGGAGAATGAGAGAGGTAAAGAGAGGAAAAGAGGAAGAGATGAATGGATGAATGTGAGGGAGGGAGGGGAGGGAGTGGATTTATATAGTGTTTGATATTGTGATGAGGTTGCTTTCGAGAGAAGTGGTTGGAGTTTTTTTTTTTTTTCTACAAACACTGAGTCTTTACGGTTGGTTGTTTTGGGCAGGCTTTTGTCCCAAGCATGCTCATTTGTCTAAGCATAAGCCTTCAAGGAAATATGATTTCACTTACGTGGGTGAAAGTTGCTTGCTAGCCGCCCTTGGTCTCTAAACAAAGCTATGATCTACATTGATTTCTCTTAGTCCCCGTTTTTACTCGATTCGCGAGAGCTCCCGTACAACAATTAATATTAGCGAGAAACACTTTGATAATCAAACTATAGATAGAAAAAAAAAAAAAAAATTCCTCACTAACAGTTAATGTTAGGCGTAATAACAGTTAAGTTGAGTCCAGCGCTCGTAAATGTTACAAGCTTTTTTTCCTAATAGTTTTTTGGTCAATTATTTTCCGAAGTGGTTGGAATTATACACCATTTTTTACTGTTGTCCAAGATCAAACTTGAAGCTTTAGACTCCTGAATCCTTGACGTTTAGTCATGAGGAGCTCTCACCTTGTGAAGAGTGAGTGAGGAGGAAGATGTTCTATGTCACAATTTGCAAGTTGGTAACTGTCCAATTCTTTATTTTTCAAATTTGATAATTACCTTTTTGTCAAGCTGGTTACATCAGCAGCAATCACAACGAAAGGCAAATATCGATCCATGAAATTCTACAAGAAATTTGAAGTATCTATCGAAAACTCGAACCTTGAACTCACCAATATTGAACGAATTGAACACAAATTACAGGAGAAGAGTACGTTCCTTGTCAACCTAATCTAAATTTTGAATACGTATTCAAGACATCTGTGGAAAATTTGAATAGAGCAAAGACAAGAATATCTGAGTACCATAATTCTTTACACTGACTGTAGAACTAGGCGGAGATGGCGAAATGAGGTCGTCATTACCTAACCTTCCCAATTGAATGCAGATAAACCGCAACCGAGACAACGCTGGAAAAAAGAAAGAAGCATAGATCAACTATTGTATTTCTCAAGATGGCAAAATTGACGTTTGCCTTACTTTTATTGTGAAAAACGGAAACAATTAGATGAGTGATGGTTTAGAAATAATCAATTAGACTACAAACACCTACAGTCTACTCATTTTAGACCAAATTGTCAAAAATATCTTTTGACGAGTTGATAATGGCCAAGCAACTCCCAACCCAATGCATATGTCATGTCACATGTTGACAGAATTGAATGGGTCTCTATGACTCAACTAATTGACGATGAAAGTATAGAACGTAGATGATTCGTGTGAGCAGAGGAAACTTACGTTGAGCCGAGGAAAAAGGCGAGGGATAGGTGAAAGCCAAATAGAAACACAGAAACAACTGCTGTAAGAAGCATTGCCACTGAAGTAGAATACACCTGAAGAAAGTAACTAAATTAAGATCGGAATCTCGTACAATGCCAGGAAATGTTCAAGGTGCAATTCCAACAAATATCTAATAATTTTAAACCCAATATACGTGAAATGCATATTAACACATGACGATGCACAAGTAGGAAACGGTCAAGGTGCGATTCCAACAAATGTAAATAATTTTTAAACCCAATATGGTGAAATGCATATTAACACATGAAGATGCACAAGTAGGCCATTACAAAAATTTAAAAGACAGCAGCCCCTAAAACCCCTCCACTTCCCCGTTATTTCACTTTTTCACGTAAGTAAATCAAATTAAATTAAATAATTTTGTAATAGTATGCCTAGGGATAATTGTAGTACATTATAACATTATAAAGTACTAGTGAATGCTTCCCCAAAATCAAAGTTGTAATTCCATGTCTTACCTTCACAATATTATCAGCATACTTCATAACCATAGACACAGCAATACCACTGCAAAGGAAACAAATATAAGCAATCGAATAGAAGCACGCAGGGCAAATGAGAGGGAATATGCATAACAAGCAAAAAGCTACTGATAAACTCATAAGCCAAAGAGGATACATAATGTACCTGAGTGCATGGTTGAAAATCATGAGAACTGTAATAAAAGAGTATCCATGGAAGAATCCCCTGAATTTAGAAGAACAACTCATAAATATAATAATCCAGGTATAATTTTAAAAAACCGGTAGGCAGAAGCACATTTTCAAAGGCAGGAACTTTTAGCAATGAAGACAAAAGTAACTGGTAAAGCAATGGACCCAACAAAGGAGAATAATCAGAAATGGAAAAGAAAAAAAGATTAAATTACTTGTTCATCACTGCATCAAAATCTTGAACCACTATAGCAACAGCATTGAAGGCCATTCCAAAGACGTACAACCAGAAGTTCTGCACATTTATATTCCTTGCAGGACGCTTTTTCATTATGGCCTGCCAATATTATTCAAAATATTTCGTCAACCAGAGTGTTCTAAAAGCCATTAGCGACAAATCTAAACCCAAATTTGATAAAGTTGAGTATGCTGGGTAAACTATTTGCAAATTATGTGATGCTTTAAGCATGAAGCGGAGAACAAGCTGTTTACTTAAAAAGTCACCTCAGTGTATACTCCTGCAAAACCACTTAAAAGTGCCATCACCTGTTACGAAAACAAACATGGCAAGCTTTAAAAGGGGGAAAATATAAAAAATAAACAAATCAGAAGACTCTCAAAATGTTGAGAACTCACAATGGCCATCACCCAGCCTTGGAATGGAGTTTGGAGAACACTGTCCGATCTGCAAACAGAATGCCATTTTAATAAACGTATTGAGCTAACTCAAGCAGAAACATTATATAAAATAACAATTAAAAAGTGGTGAAGAGAGTCCCCTACACTCTGAGTTTCAAATATAATTAAGGAATCACAATATCGGCAGACGAGTTAACTTTTTAACCTAGAGGAAATATGCAGGAAATTAATGACTTGAGTTCCTCCATGAATTTAATAAAGTTAACTTGCTATCATCGACATGGGGTGCACCATGGATCAATCACGCAATAACATCAGTCTGATGAGGGACAAACTCGGCATGAATTCAATTAGATACTGAATAGAAAAATATGGTAGTGAACACACTTACTTTGGGTTTAGTTGTGCTGTAGTGCACCCTGCACATAGGATAATGAAAGCGGCCCATTGGATCTCACTTAACCTGCAGTAAATACGGGTAGAAACAAAAGTTCATAAGAACTGTATCTTCAGCCAACAGTATATAGCAGCACACAAATAGGCAGCTTAGCTTAGTCATATTTACTTACTTTCTCTTGAGTATGATTCTGTACAAAATTCCAGTGCTGATAATGTTGAAATTCTTCAGTATTTGATAACCCGGAGCATCCACATACGCAAAGATATAATACTGCCACATACAAATGAGCACTAGATGCAATCACACATCAGAAAGTAAAAAGACTATAATTTACTGAAGCAAACAGAAAACATA